CTTCCATCGCCCCCTGTTGCTCCTGGTTCTAATTATCTCTTCATCCTGCTCTGCTGGAGGGGAGGGGCTGCGAAAAACTCATTTCCAACCTCAGTTTGGTAACTAGTGATTCATCGCGCTGCTGCTCTGGAAGGGCCGTACGCTCTCATGGAGACCAGGATCTTAGGCCGCAGGGCCGCCCTCTGTAAGCCAAGTGGAGGCGAAATTGAGCACTCAGGGTCTAGAGTCGAAGGTCCTGAGTTTCAGGTCTCAGCTCCACCACTTACAACCCTGTGATCATGAGCATTACTTGCCTCTCTCTGCCTCAGTTTCCTCATCTATAAAATGGGGATAACCATAATGTCTCCCCCATAGGTTTAATAGGAGAATTAAGTGAGATCATAGAATCTAATTAATGCACTAGTATTTGGATTTAGACCAGACTAGGGAGGCCATTAATCATTAATAGTAATACGGTTCTAGTATTTTTTTTAACAATTATATATAACAACTATAGAATAACAATGATTATGATGATACAGCAATATAGTAATATTAGTAATCAATACAATAGCAGCAGAATTTAGGATATCACCAGAGCAGGGTCAGGACAGAGGACTCCTCAGGAGCCTCCTGTGCTTGGGGCTGTATCCTCGTGTTACCAGAAAGGGTTCCGGATCCAGACCCCGAGAGTAGGTTCTTGGATCTGACACAAGAAAGATTTTGGGGCGAGCCCACAGAATAAAGTGAAAGCAAGTTTATTAGAGAAGTGAAGAAGCAAAAGAATGGCTGCTCTATCCTGGTGCACTGTCTCATACTCATGCTTAACTGAATATGCTTATGGTTTCTTCTTGATTATTTGCTAAACAAAGGGTAGATTATTCATGAGTATTCCAGGAAAGGGGCAGGCAATTCCTGGAACTAAGAGTCCCTCCCCTTTTTAGATATAGGGTAACTTCCTGACGTTGCCATGACATCTGTAAACTGTCATGGCGCTGGTGGGAGTGTCTTTTAGCATGCCGATGCATTATAATTAGCACATAATGAGCAGTGAGAACGACCAGAGGTCACTTTGGTCGCCATCTTGGTTTTGGTGGGTTTGGGCCGGCTTCTTTACCACATCCTGTTTTATCAGCAGGGTCTTTGTGACCTGTATCTTGTGCCCACCTCCTGTCTCATCCTGTGACTTAGAATGCCCTAACCTCCTGGGAATGCAGCCCAGCAGGTCTCAGCCTTATTTTACCCAGCCCCTATTCAAGATGGGGGTCACTCTGGTTCAAACGGACACTCAGATATCCCAGTGTCCCTGCTCTGCAGCCTTTCTTCAGCAACCTTGGCCAGACACCTAGTTTTCCAAACTCTAACCCAGAAGCTTGGGGCTGGAGTAGGAGAGGCTTAACCTCCAGGGGTGGGGTCAAGACCAGAGCCGGGAGGGGAAGGCACAGACCAAGTCCTTCCCCTATCCAGGGATGCCCCCACCCCCTTCCTGGGAAAGCTGTGCCACAGGAGGTTGGGGAGATTCCAGAAGGTGTCACCTGGAAAGGAGGGATGAGCTTGCTGGGACCTGCCAAGATTCAAAGGACATTTTAAAACAGCAGAGTCTGTGAAAGGCAGCAGAATCCCGCTCCCCATGTTTGCCCTCGGGACCCTCACTGAAGCAGAACCATTGCTCAGAGCGTGAGAAGGAGAAGCAAGTGTCCGTGAACATGCTGGCTCCGGGTGAGACCTCAGCTAGTGTTTGGTTTCTAGAGCACAGCTGCGTCCTCAGGGCCTAGAGCCATGGTTTTATCAGAAGAGAGTAAACCCACAGCAGAAGCAAGTCTTCCTGCTCACGACTTGGGGTCTGCATGCAGAGGCCTCGTGGCATGGAGGTCCCAAGCGTTGACACCAGTGTCTGGAGGCCAAATCCAGTTCTTCCCTTACAGCTGTGAGACCTTGGCCAGGATCACCTTCCAGAGCATGTCCTGTGGGCCAAGCCCTAACAGGTATTAACTCAGTCAGTCATCACACCAGCTTGAGGAGGGGGCGTCCTGTTATAATCAGAGAGTACCTCAGTTCCTTCATCTGTGAAATGGGGATAATAATAAAACTCATGGGGTGATGGAGAGGATGGAGCAAGTTACTATATGTGGAGTGTCCTGACGGGTCTTGTCACAGCGAGAGCTCTATATTAAGTATTAGCTATTTTTATTTTTTCAGAGGAAAAAAAGGTGTGAATTGACCAATATTTGTGATTGTCTCCAGCAGCCTCCCCCAGAGCATACGTGCTGGGGTGAGAGTTGAAATTCAACCTGACTCCCGTACATTAGAGCTTTTCTGAGTGTAGACTCAGGACCACTCACATAAGAGCCAGCCAATTCCAGCCCCCCTTACAGAA